GTTTGGCTCGGAATGTGATTATTATTATTATTCCGACATGGCAAGTTTCATAAGCGTCAACTTAATTCGGCCCTGTTCGACTGAAACGCAAGTAACCGCTCTGTAAACACAGCCGCGGAACACAAAACGCCCGCAATTAAAATGAACCACAACTGCTTTGAGTTAAATCGATAGCGAGTTCCACGAGCAGATACGGCTTGTGTTTTTTTTTTCCCTCCCTCTCTTTCATATTGTAATTGCCTTTATTACCCAATTTGTTTGTGTGCTGGGTTCGGGCAAAGCGAGGCAGTTGGAGTCAGTTACAGGGAGAGGAGGAGGAGCAGCAGCAATCAAAAGGAGCAGGCCAGTGTTGGGAGAGAAGCTGAAAGGCAAGCTGGATTTTTTTGTAGATGTTGGCGACAAGGCTGCCCATTCATCGAGCCTCTCGTAGAAGTTTGGGGGGGGGGGGGGGGGAGGGTGGCTGTGACCGTGGCTATTCGATCCCGCACTGTACTTATTTAGTGGGACCCGGAGCCGATATCACGCGTGGCATTAATGCGGACCGTCTCCCGGTGCATTCCGCTCCGGCGATGCCGGGACAAAAAATCCCGGCATCGCCGCCCAAATGCGCCCAGCGTGAAGCAGTGAAATAAGAACAAAGACAAAGAGGGCCCTTTGTCAGCCCGTCCACCTTGGTCACGACCGGTAGTGAAATTCACAACGAAATGTGGTTTAACACCAACAACAAAAAGTTCACTTAAAGTGGCATCGCGATAGCAAAATACAATAATCCCATTGTGATTTAACAAATGTGCTTTTTTTGTTGTTCTCAGAAATGCGTTTCGCTAATTTTGGGAAATCAAATGGAACAAATGATGTGGCTGCTGCACTGTCGGATTCGTGATTTATGAAAACAAAAATGACGACAATAGAAAGATGCCAATGATGTTCGGACAAATAGGTTACTGTGGTAAAGCAGAGGTTAATGAATGAGCACATGGGGGTGTTTCTTCCTTCAAAGGACACAGAGGTCACGTATTAGACCCCGTCCTATTCAGAAAGATCATGACCTGGCATCATTCAATTGCAGAGATTTTTTTTGTCGAATTATAAGAAGCTTATTGCTATTATAGATTTTCTTTTTCAAAGCAATAAATCTTCCAAAAAAGTGATTTTTTATTCGCGACGTTCTAGTACTGACGATATTAAGGTAATTTCATAAAATGAGGCGGAAGTTAGTTGAACAGTGCTCAGTTTACACCCACACCATTAATCAGTTACATTTAGGACATTTAATCATTTTAAAATGTGTCAAATGTGCACGGGACTTCCTGCTGAAAAATATGGGTTTCGTGAATATTTAATCAATAATCAGTTATATTTTCCAATTTTCATGCAAACCAGATCATGAGTATATAACGAGGATATTATACGATTCTTGATTTTGCCGAACGTTGAGCGTTGAAAAATATACGGCAGTAAATATTAAAGTTACAGCATTCTCATCGTATTACGTACACTTTCATAACTATGCTTAAGATCTGACAATGGACATTGAAGCATTCGTGTTAAAAGTCTTGACAGTCTTTAGCCTTCATACTTTCCACTGGACACCCAAACCAATTTCTTTTATTATCACAAAAATATTCCAATCTATTCCATAAATACATTAATGTATCGTTATTGTGACTGCGCAACCCACACTGCCGTCAAACAAGCGGGCATTACATCCATGATCAACTTTTTAAAAAAGGCTGTGCATGAGAAACACAGGGCTGATGATCGTTATTGAGAGAGAAAAAAATCCCCACCGAATATTACAAAAGCACTAACCATTCTCTTAGCCGATGCGTCATTCATTCCTTATTCGCAATTTGTATGTCGTGGTGAAGAATCTCAGCTCAGTTTAACGCTTAGGCTTTCGCGATCAATATTGTCCATAATTAAGGGTTTTTTTGTGTTAGATCGTGTAGATATGAATGTGTCCTTAAACCCACCACCACCCGACACAGCCAATCAGGAAAGTTTGTCAGGTAAACAAAACGTGCCAATCAGTTCAGCACACCGGTGTGTTAGAGAGTAAACCCACAACAGGTACGATTCGAGTACGACATTTCACCGGTAATTACGAACAGGCTTCATTAGGCGACAGCCAGAATTGTGGAGAAATCCTCTGTTCTCGGTCTTAAATCGCATGTCGCTTGCCAGCCGATGCCTAAATATGACCCACAATATCGCCAACAATATCACCCACAATATCAACAAATTGGCAAATCGGCCCGTAGCCAGCGCTATGGCGACGTCGTTGGCGCCTTCAGCGCCTGCCCCCCTCGCGTATCCCCGTGTTAAACACGTCCCCGGGTATCGTGTGCCCTCTAGGTCTGCGTCCCACGTTGCTGCGCCACGATCCGCTAATTGGCGTCGCCATCCAACCTCACGCCACCACCCCTGAGATAGCGCCGCAAATGAGCTCTCGCACCCTCGGCTTGGCGTCTCGGCGAAATTAATGGTACAAAAAAAATATAATAACCCCCATGCAAAAGTATACATTTTTAAAACATCACCCAAGTTTGAGTCACCAATAACCTTGTTAGGTGTCTCTTTAGTGTGACGGACTGTTTCGAGGCAGGCGACAGCAGAGGCTGCGTCGGAGGAATTCCTCACCCGCATCGGGATCGTGAAAAAAAAGTTAAAGTTGGCGAGCTTCCTTCCGTTGCGGCAAATTAGCTCAAGGCTCTCCGAGACCGTGCAGTCTCTAACGCCACTCCTTTGTGACCTTGACATATATTTATACACCGTGCGCTTAAGCCATGTTGTCCACACTTTGAGCGATCAGTTCTACGCAACTGAATCGCTTACGCGGACGCCTCTGCGAACAGTTGCGACCGGTTGCGCACACCGGTGTCTCTGCCTCGGAGCGTCCATCTGCTCGGCGATTTGCGGCGTTGCATTTCACCAACATTGCGAACTGCAACTGCGATCGGTTGTTTCCCGCTCCTGAATACGCCGTTTAATATTCTCGCTGTGCAAGTACTCGCTGAGGTGTCGACAGAGTGGTCGCAGGCCACGATTTAACGTCGCGCGATTTGGATCACTCAGGAGTGAAGCCGGCTTTAGCCTGTGCGAGTAGAGACCTTCCCCCGCGCAAAAAAAAAAAACTGAAAATGAAAACTGCAACTTTAATTAAAAACTTTATTACATTTTATACCTTAACACAGAAAAAAACCATATAATGTACACGCTTAGACTGCTCTGCTGTGGTGGTATAAGCTGTAGCAGAGAGCACGACAAGTTCCAACACTAGAATTAAGCCTGTGTTTGTGAAAAGCCATGGATGGCAGTGCAAGAGTTAGTTTTATATATAATATAGATGTAACGGCTCCAACGGTGTTCCATGTGACATTTATAAACACCGCTAGAGCCATTTCACGTCATTGTGTGCCATTTACAGAAATTTCCGGATATTTGTGGACAGGCAGCAGCATAATGCATCAGCATTGGATTGGGGATAATACATTGCAGGAAAAGGCATCGCTTCCATAAGACTCTTTAAGACAAAGAACAAAAAGCCTTGCGGTTAAATTGACGGCGATAATTACTTTGAACCTATTTGAGATGGGGCTGCTTTGACAGTGGCAGCGGGATGATTAATGACATTCGTTGCAGCCTTGCCAAGTTGTTGTGGAAAGGCTTTGAAAATCACCGAATGTCATAGCGGTAATTTTGAGCCGTCAATCCACTGCTGGGGATGAAGGCCTCCCCACGCCATGTCAACCATGAGGGTTTTTGACCATACTTCAACACGCTGGTACAGCAGGGGTTGGTGAAGGGGTAGGGTCGGCCCTGGACCTGTTCAGATATCCCTCCGCCACAGACGTTAGCCGTGGCTGAGACTCGAACTCGGGCGGCCAGATGATTGTGCAGTGCGCTCACCCCACCGTTCCACCACTCCAACCAGATAAAAAAATATCCGTTTGCCGGTCCTCACGTTGGCCAAAGGGCCGTGTAATAGTCACGGGGCCCAATCTGGCAGGCCCTTACCCCTGCCGCAGAGCAATACAGTCAAGATCGCAGTGCCCCATTCCAAATGGCACTTGCACACTCCGTCCTGTCTGACCCCCATACGGTGCCATTGTGTGACAAATACGCAGCGTGACCTCGAGCCGAGGGCCGGAGCAGCCCCGTCGCCGCTCTTTCAAGCTGCGCGGCAGCAGCAAGCCACCAAGCGTGATTAACGTATTACAGTACTATTCACGGGGAACACAACTACGGCGGAAGGCGTGTTAAAATGACTCTGACGGTGTCTATATGTGCGTTCGTAAAAAATATTAATTAAATAATCTTTCCCAAGCAGGTCCTCTGACGCGCTTCTCGCTTCCGTTTGACCGCGCGTCGTTCGCCGGCGGTGGTTGCGTAGATTCACGTCGTCTTCAGCAGCCGCTCGCGGTGCACAAGGAACATCCTGGGCTTTGAAACGCTGTGTCTGAGGCATGTTGCTTCGACTTCTGACGCAAACGTTCTGCGAATGAATACCTTGCTTTTTTGTACATTTCACTCATCTACATCATATTGCTTTTTAAAAACTACATCACTGCAGTTATTAAAAAATATACGAAGGTGTTCGTAAGCGACTTGTCCGAATGCGTCTGAACAACTGTCCGTGAGTAGAATGTATTACACATGCCAGTGTAATGTCGTGTAACCCAGTATTACATTACGTACGCCGGCATGACATACCAGCCGGAGTAGGAGGAAATGCTAATGGAATTGTCCGTATACAATACAATCGCTGCAAGGCCATTGTTCACCGTACTTGTGACGAGCGAGTGTCCAAAGTGCACATCACACTCCAAAAAAAAGAAAACAATGAGCTCATTGCAGAAGAAACATTTACGTTATGGGATTTTCTTCTGGCACATTTTAAAGGGTCCTTTGATTGACACCCAGCCGATGCCACTCCGCAGCTGCCACCGTCCATCAACCTGCGGTTCTGTCACGGCAGCCGGCGAGCGGCAAGCGGCCTACGTCTGCGAGTGGTCCGAGTCGGGCACCCCGCTATCTCGCCGGCCCCTGTGCACCTCGCCGCCGGCGTTCTGGTGATATTTGTAAACCAGGCCGCTGCCACATCCGCCGCCGCCGCCGCCGCCGCCTCCGCCCCCCCCACCGATCCCGGCGCCGTGGCGCTGCGGGAACACCGTCTGTATCGTGAACTCGTCCCGCGCTGGGTGCGCGCCGTTCAGCGGCACCACCTGGAAGGGCGAGCCGTCTCCGCCCTCCAGCGTGGACACGTCCTTCTTCTTGGTGGCGCCGTCCACGTAGTCGCAGGCCTCGCGCCGCCGCCGCCGCCCCACGCCGCCGCTACCGCCCGTGCCGCCGTCCGACCGGCGCCAGCAGCGCCCCCTGAGCGCGTGGGCGGCGGCCGCGGCGAGGCACGCGGCCGCCGCGACCGCGGCGACGGCGCCGCCGATCACCCCGGCGCCGCCCCCCGCGCCGCCCGCTCCGCTCGCCCGTCCGTCCCCCCGCTCGCGGTTCGTCGGCACCGACGAGTTGAAGTCGGAGGGGCTCGGCGTCCTCGCCTCGGCGCACGCGTGCAGGTCGGCGAAGCGGCGGTCGTCGCCCGGGTCCGCGACGACGGCGCACACCCGGTAGGTGCCGCCGGGCTGCAGGCGCAGAATCCGGTGGCCGCCGCCGCCGCCGCCCCCCGTCGCCGGCCACGATCACCTTGTCGGCGTCTCCCGCGCCGCCGCCGCCGCCGCCGCCGCCGCCTTCGGCCGCCGTGCTCTGCCCGAGCCGGGCCCAGTGGAGCTTGAGGACCTTGACGCCGGGCGGCGCTCTCCAGCTCACGCGCAGGCTGCTGTCGGTGACGTCCGACAACCGCACCTCCAGGTCGCTCTCGGAGGCCGCCTCGGGAACGCCGTGCTTCGGGGCGCCGGCGCGGGGGGGTTGGCTCCGTGGGCCCGGCCTCGCCGTGGTCCGCGCGTCGCGATCGGCGGGCCGCGCCTGCGTCGACGTCGCCGCCGCCGCCGCGACTCTCGCGCGCCCCGCGCCGTCCCCGGAGGCGCGGCAGTCGAGCGCCAGCCCCTCCAAGGGCGTTCCGCGAGCCGTCTCGGGCGCCTGGCACACCATGCCCCGCACCATGGTGACGGACGAGCGCCGCTTCATCCACTCCTGCAGCCAGAGCAGCGCGCAGGTGCAGCGCCAGGGGTTGTTCCGCACCGACAGCTGCGCCAGCTGGCTCAGGTCGTCGAAGACGCCCTGCGGCAGGACGCCCAGGCTGTTGCCGGACAGGTCGAGGCGGGCGAGCTGCCGCAGGCCCGCGAGCGCGCCGGCGGAGACCCTGGAGATGCGGTTGTCCTGCAGGTAGAGCCTCTCCAGCCGCGTCCCCGGCAGGTTCGCCGGGACGGCGGCGAACGCGTTGCGGGCGAGGGACAACTCGGCGAGGCTGTCGAGGTCTCGGAACGCCCGTTCGGCGATGCTCTTCTCGCTCAGCTGGTTCCCTTCCAGGAAGAGCCTCTTGAGGTTCCCGAGCCCGCCCAGCGCCTGCTCAGAGATGGCGCCGACGCGGTTGTCGTCGAGCCGCAGCTCCTCGAGGCCGCGGGGCAGGCCGATGGGCACGGCGCTCAGGAGATTCCGGGACAGGAAGAGGACCTTGAGGCCTGCGGCGCCCGCGAAGGCCCCGCGCTCCACGCCCACCGAGGTGACCACGTTGTCGTCCAGGTGCAGCCTCTCGAGGGCGGCGAGGCGGGCGAGCGCCGCGCGCGGCACCACGCGCACGCGGTTCTCCTGCAGGTGCAGCTCGCGAACGCCCGGCGGCAGGTTGGTGGGGAACTCCTCCAGCCGGTTGCCGTACAGGTAGACCGTGTCCACGTCGCGGAGGTGCGTCAGCTCGGACGGGATGCCCGCGTCGTTGATGAGGTTGTTCTGCAGGAAGAGGGTGGTGGCCTCCCGCGGGATGCCGCTCGGCACGGACGTGAGCGCGCGGTCGTTGCAGTACACGAAGGCGCCGTCGCAGCGGCACGGGGCGGGGCAGCCGGAGGCCGGTGCGGGCGGCGTCGCCAGCGCCAGCGCCGCCGCCATCGCCACCGCTGCCGCCAAGCGGACGGCGGGCGGGGAGGCCGCTCCTCCGCGCGCGGAAGTCGCCATGGCGCGCTTTCTTTTTTCTTTTTTTGCAAAGATCCACGTCGGCAGTGTCGGCAGCTGTGAGAAGGAGAAAATGGCAATCTGTCAAGGTGGTACGGTGTCGCCCTTGTAAAGCAGAAATTGGATTCTGTACGGTGCGAGTTAAAATGTCGAATGATTTTAATCTCTTAACCCGCTGGTATTTTCTTTTATATATATATTGGCTTTAACGCAGTGTATCGCAAGTAAATGTTTAATGTTTCATCTTTTCTGTGATTTTTTTTATATGTTACGTACCTTTAATAAAATAAAGGGCACCAGCTGAAAACCTATGGAGGCAAATGTTAAGACTACGTGTGACTACGTGAGTGCTGGTAACGTAATCAGACTTTGTTCCAAAAATGTGCCAACGTCAACTTTAGCTTAAATGTAAGCAGTAATATTTTCATCATAGGAATTAAAATAATAATATTACAGCCCACTGTAGTGTCGGTCATGGGGGTTGTTTGACCATGCTTCACCATGCTGGTCAGTGTGGTTTATTGAGGGGGGGTGTGGAGGACTATCTCAGACATCACTCATTACTAATGTTTGCAGTGGCCAAGGATCTATTGAGATTGCGTAATGGATATCGCGTTGTGCTATCCACTACGCAAATACCCAAAAATTGTGATACGGTATAACAAAAACATCATCCCAAAATAATTATGTCTTTGCCGTGCAGCAATCAGCCAATACACTCATACATCTGTTTGTTTGTAATGTTGCATTGTCTACAATAATTAATTTCACGTGACGTATGAATAAGTAAAACTTAAAAAAGGTGCTCTTACAATGTACCGTATGAACGTCTACACGTACGCTAACCTTTTGGCGGATTGCAAATACAAATACCAGCCTTGGTTTTGAGACTTCAATCGTAATGTTGAAATTTGTGCGCATTGCAAAAAATTCTAAACCACGTAAAGCCATTTCAAAGCGCTCTAAGCAAATCAAAAAGGCCCACATATATCAATATTAGTTGCTCATATTTTATCTTAAAATGTCCAAGTAGCAGTAAATTACACTGCTGTAAAACTGCACGGCTGTTTTTTTTTCCCACCAGAACAAAGCTGACCAGTTATTAGACTACTGGGCAGCGTTCGTCTGTCACATCAAACATCTGTTTTCAGTAAGCTTAACGGCTAACATTTAAATGTACATTTGTCAAAATTGTAAACAAGCCTTAATTACAAGGTTGTTATTTCGGATGACAGATTGCATTGTAGACAAGAGTTAGCGCTCACACATTGCATCGTAGCCTTTACGTTACTGTAGGTTTAAGTAATACCTTGTAAACAACGCAACAGTAATGGCAATAACTGATGGGAACACATGTGGTGGTGGTGGTGGAACACATCAAAGGAGTGAGTTAGCAAATAAAATCAAAACTTACACGCACAACTGAAGAGGACAAACGAATGTTGTCACGCGTGAATTCAAATAAAACGCAACGAACCAGCACTGCCTTTAGCAATGTCTTTAAACAGATAATGTATAATGTTTACGCAGATAATATAAATATTCCAGGGTCCCTGCCAAAGTGTAATGGCTATCATGCCGGACTTGCAACCGAGAGGTCGCCGGTTCGAGTCATCCTCCAGGCGCGTCACTTGCCAAGTTTAATTTCTATCCACCCGCCCTGGTCCGCCCAGCAGTATAAATGACGACACCACCGTGAGTCGATCGGCAGGCCGCGTGTGATGGTCTAAAGTATCGGTACTCCGACCTCTTTCCAGCGTGGAAAAGTAGGCCAATAATATTCTCTAAAGAGGCTATCTACAGCTCCTGCTAGCGGAGGCCTAACTGCCATCAGTGGCAGATAGTGCAATGCACCGCGCTACGTTCTTAATAAGCTGTGCTATTAACCCGACAATTTGACTTTGATTCCTAGCGATGGCCAATGATATCCGAACCAGTGTTGGCACCCTGTCTTCACCAACCAGTCATGGGGATACTTTTGTCCGCAAGTGGATTGACAAAAGGTTGTTAATCATCATGACTATTATTACAATTTGAGCTATTGGTCATTTTTTTTGTATCAGATAGAGTAAGTAGAGTAGCAAAAAATTGTATTTAACTTATAGTTGGAAAACACATCTTATTGGTAGCTGAGCATTGAACAGTTTTCTGTCAGCAGATATTGCTCAACGGACGCTGAAAACGTACACGTAAGTGATACAACAAACATTATCGCTTGAGCCAATGTGACGTTTCAAGTCCGTACGTGCGATGCAAAAATCGGTTTGAAAGGTTTACGGCAATAGAGAAAGGGAGACTTTAACCTAAAGGTTTAAGTTTTTTTTTGTTTAATCCAGGCAGTTTCCCACCGCTTCAAAGCCCGATGTTTGACAGAAATGCTCGGGATGCTGAAGAGAGCTTTCCGTGGGCTTGTTTTCTACTCCCTGAAAACCCCCTTCAAACAGGTTCTCCATTCGCCACCGTGGCAGTCTCCTCTTTCTTTTGTGCCGCCGTCTTTGCTACCTACAGCCATGGCAGCACCGCGCATAAAGGGCCGCGCTTCTTACTCGGCGCGTCCCTCCTCGTTGTCGTGGATTTATCTCTCGCTCGGGCCGCTTCTGCCTGGTGTACAATAAGCCCTTCACGGGATCAGAATGAGGACGGTGCAGACAGAGGACCGCTGTTTGCCAACTGACTGAGAAAGCGGCTGAGTGAAAAATAAAATAAAACCTAACTAGGATTGGATTTACGGGATAATTTTGGGTTTCGCTTCCAGACTCTGGAATAATTTTAATCAAACTGGGAAATCCTCTCACCCTCCGAAAATGTGAAAGTGTTTTCCGTTGCTGTTGTTGTTATTAAGTGACGTCTCTACACAGGGATGTTAATGATTAATATTATTTACAATGAAAACTAAAAATATATTTTAAACGATTGGATTGGAACTTAGCGTGGAAAGTTTGACACATCAGTACGTTTTCAGTCTTTGTAAATAATCGACCGTTTTTGTCAATCGTAAAATAAAATAAGTTCGTCAGAAACTGCATTTATACTCTACACATGCAGCATTGAACGTTTGAATAAAGAACATTTCTCATCATTACAGCCAATGGAGTCGTTTTCCAAAATCAGTAAATAGTTTGCAACACGGGGATTTTTTTTCATTTTGTTTAAGAAAAAAATAAATTTGAATATTTTTTTGTTGTTGTGGATTTCCTCTCTACAGGCGGGAAGATAAATTAGCCCAGCAAATTGAAAGGGACACTTTTAAATCTCTTAATTGAGAAAAGATCAGTTCCTTCTATCTCGCACAGCGGGAGATGGGGGGGGGAGGGATTTTGCTCACACAAGACCACGGCGCAGTTTAAAGGACACGCTGCCACTTGCAGAAAGTGAAACTCGTTCACAGCATGGGGCGTTCAGCCACAATTAGAGAGATATATGAAAATATAAGAAGAAGAAGAAACCATCCGACAAGGCTATGACCAGATCAAGTTAATTGCTGCGAAAACTAAACAAAACTTCACCCAATAAACGAAATAAATAAATTAGTGTGTAAAACAGAGGTGACTATTTTGAGCAGTGGCCGAGATGCCCGGTGGGTAAGATGCACCAGTTGATTTCTCAGGAGGGTCCCTCTTGCATACCTCAGCCCCCCTTTCTTTTTTTCCCTCTTCCAAAACTTCAGGGGGCAGAGGCGTTTGCGCACAGCGTGCTGCCAGCTTCCGATGTGTTTTCTTTACTCCGCTGTCTTTTTTTTGCTTTCTGACAACAGCAATGCCTCGAGCTCATCAACAGGACCCCCGGGTGAGGGTGGGTGGGGAGGGGGGGCATGGGCAGTGGGGGGCGTGCTACGATAGTGGCGAGTGTCCGGGTGGCACTGCGGGTCGGAGGTCGGGCTCCTGTACCGGGCCGGGTCGGCCGGCACGGACAGGATCAGAGGTGGTTCTGCTCGTCAACCGGACCTGCGGCAGGCCCAAGGTATTTTTTGTTTTTCTAGCGTGGCGTGTTGTTGACACAGCTGAGTTGCGTCTCATCCCGCGGTGTTGTTTCAGCCTTGGATTTAGTTCTGGCCCCTTCGGCTAAATGCGGAGGGAGGTTGGAGGGGGTGGTTTGGGTGGTCAAATGAGAGTAGCGAGAGACGGTAGGGGGTCAGTTTAGGAGAAGAGGACAGACAACAGGAAGGTGTGAGAAAGTTGTTACAACTGCTATGTACATTTTCCGCCTTCCACGAGACCCTGAGTTATCTGCCTTCTTTAATCTCTTGCCCACATTTGCTTTCCTTATCCCCTGTGGGGAGGGGGCGTGGATGCTTCTTCTTGTGTGGGGAACTCCTACGGATGCTTGGGAAGTGATGGGATTCGGGATTGTAAACTGTTTACTTTAAATTTTGATTAAAAGCTTTCGTGACTGCAGGGATTCATATTCTTGGTTCTTTCGGTAAAGTCACGTAGAAGGGAAACAATAAAATAATAAAAAATATTAAACAAAACGTGACTTTACCGAAAGAACCAAGAATATGTTTACTTTAAACTAAGACCTGAAACAATGATCGTAATGAGGAACAAACATTTAAACGTGTTACAAAAATATACACAGGTCTATACGAGCATACTGCACGTTCATACACCAGGTGATGTTTATGCTTAATGTATCCCCAGCTTAGTACGCAGTAATATAGAAAAATTCACACGACGCATGCCAGGAAATAACACAATCACATAATGAGCATTTGTTAAACGAACAGTGTAATTGTGCAATCATTAGCAATTCGCACGCTGGGTGGAAATAGGCCACGTTTTTTCACTGTTAACAAATGTAATTAGCACGTGATTTTATGTTAATTACTGATAGTTTATTTCCTACGATTCTGTCATTCCCCCCCAAAAAATATTGCGTCTACTTGAGGAGGGGGGGAGGGGTTCAATTTTGATGAATGTAAAATAATAAATAATAACTACATAATGAAGCATTTAGCAATGGGTGTTTGCTCTACAGTACAGGCATGTGAAAACGAAGATGCGACTCAGTTCTATGGATATGGAAACAATTTGTCCGGCTCCGATATATTTAGCCGAGCGCGGCTCCACTCTCTGTCCTTAACGCGCGACAGCTTGAGCAGACGTTACAACGAAATGCTTGCGACGATCCATTGAAGATCCGAGTCCACCCTCGTGAAGCTTCCCGCACACCCGGCAATGATGGCGCTTTGCCGCTGAGTTGCCTCCATTTATTATTGAAAATGCATCGTCGCAATTCACTTGACATTTTGACACATTTTAAATAATGAAAAATGAAGTTGAATTTTAAAGAACAGGATGGATGCTTTCCCCGTATCCCGTGCGTTCTTGTTTCACCAATGCGGCATCTTTATTGCAGCAGCAGCAGCACCCTTTAAGCTGAATTATCTCATTTAAGCACATTTAATAACCACAAACACATGCGTTTGTATTTTTTTTTACTATTAATTTCCATCTTCATGTAGTTTACTGGTACCCTTGTTAGCTTTACATTAAAGTAAATAGTTCACTTTTATCAGAATGTTTTTTTTTACGTCGCTTCTTCAATGCTGTCTTTATATTACCAGAACCCTTGAAAATACTATAAAGCAGCATGAAGGTCAAACTTAATAAAAGTTACAAAAACTCAACACGTGCTTTATTAATATTGGCCGATAAGTAAATACATGCAATGTATATCAGCCGCAAAATTTCCCGCTATGGCCCTTAATCATTTCACAGCAGAGTTTAGGTTTGTTTTTGTGTTTGTGCATAATTCGCATGAGCAGCATCACGATGTCTGTTTTCTCGATGAATTCCACAAACTCGCAAAGCGAGCCACCCTACGGAGTCTGCGCAATCAATCGACGGCAAAATAAAATTCGCAGAATGATTGCATTTGTCAGTCCCAGCTATAATTTGCCTGAAATTCTCTCTATTTAGCAACCGTTAATTGAACTTGATAGCGTAAGATTACTAATTATCCCTCTTGGTAGTACAAATGTTGACCTAAAGCATACTTCAGAAGAAAAAAAAAACTCAGCCTATCACTATCATTTTGTTAAAGGTAGAGAACAACACCCAGCGCTCTGCGTTCCTCAACAATTACGCATTGATTGCTTCGACTTTCCGAATCAAATGAATGTCATGCAACCCCACCAGGTTGCCTCCTGTTCGACTACTTCTCCGACGTCAAAATAAGTTTGAACGTGGCTCTTTCACTCCAGCGCTGTCCTACCAGACAGTCTCGTCCCTTCACCTGATGAAGGCCGCTTGTGTTGTGGCCGAAACGTCGTGAGAATATTATTGTGTTATTTTATTTTATCAATTTATTACTTTATTCTCATTCTACGTGACTTTACCGAAAGAACCAAAGAAGCGTCTCTACACCTTTAGTAGCTGCCCCCATTAAACCCGTCCATTGAAGGTTGTTTTGTGTTGAACACTGTGCGCTTCGATGCAAATGCACGAAATAAAATTGAACACCAACAACAACTTCAATACAAAAGTACGTGGTTTTAAAACGGACACCAATGTTGCTCTCGTTTGTTTATCAACGGGGACTTTTCACAGACTGGTCGTCTGAATGAATGTGTGTTCAGCACAACACGCTGGCGTGAAATAAAAACCCACAACTTGCGCACTGACGCGCTAACACGGGACTCGGCAGGAGCACTGCCCTAGCGAGAGGAGAGAATACTCACATAACGTACGACGTTTCGGGCAATGACCCTTCTTCACAGGCAGAGAAATCGCAAAGAGCCGCAAAAAAAAGAGTCAACTAATCAAAAGTGGCCGCTCATTTGTAGAACAACAATATACAACGACGGCAAGGACACACTCGCAACAACATCAACAACTTACTTCTATCGCGAGCGCGTCGGGTAGCTCCCTTGCACCTCCGAAGTGAGTGCCGATCTCCTCCACACGCCGGTGGGAAGGGGGGCTGGGTGGGGGGGGTACTGGAGGGGTGACGGAGACTCGGCGGGCGGGGTGCGCCAGGGGAGCCTCGGCCGTCAAGAAACTCCTCGCTCCTCTGGGCGCAAGCCAGCGGCAAGCAACACGCCTTTCTGTCCCCTTCTCGGAAGAGGCCGCCTCATGCTCCCTCCTGCCAACCACTGGGACCAGCCCGGCCGCTTCCCCAGCTCCCCGTGTGGCGCGCGCCCCCCCCCCACCCCCTCGGCGTCTCAGCACCGCCTACCGGCCAATGGGAGCACGCGGGGCTGGGTGTAGGGGGGGGGGACCGTCTGGACCGGCCGATAGGTCCGGGGCCAATTGGGAGGTCCTGGGGCAATTGTCTGCGGAGAGCAACAAGAGCGGGCAGCGGTGACGCCTCCTAACCCCCAACCACCACCACCACCACCACCCCCCAGCACAAGCCGCCCCCTAACCCCCACCACCACCACCCCCCAGCCCAGACCTTCTTCCCAAAGGCAAGGAAGGCGGAATTCCACTGCCTAAAAGCCAAGCCGTTTCAACGTGACACTGGCTTGCCCCCCCCCCCCACTGACAAATAAGGGCATTTATGGAGTGTTGCCCCCACCCCCTCTCCAGAAAGAACGTGCCAACACTCATTAGGAAGGACATTTGGCGATTCCTTTCTTTGAGTTCATGTATGGCGACTGTGAAATGCCACGTTATAGAGGTATAACGTATAATTCATATATATAATTACCAACAAAAAAAAATCACGCTTACATGCTTGCAGGACTGTTTGCCAAAATATACAGAGTGCTATATTAATGTTGAAATGGTCTTAAATCATTAAACTAAAGCGCTTGTGTTGTAGCTGAAGTAAGGTTGATGTATACTGTCACAAATGTGTTACTAAAGTGAAACAAAATATACAGAACTTAATTCACGTGAACGTATGTGCATATGAGTGGAGCTGTGGTGTGGTGGTCTTGATGCTCCCTGTTGAACTCGGTGCCGTGAGTTTGATTCTTGGCCATGGCCAATATTAATGATTCATGGTATCCGAAACAGCCCCACCAACCTAGACTGAACCAGCATGGTGCAGTATGGTTAAAAGAGCCCAGAGACTGACAAACATGGCGTGGAGATACCTTTATCAAGCAGTGGATTGGCAAAGGAGACAGACATTAAATTTGCAGCAGAACTACCAAAAATCCACGCGCCAATATTCCATGAACTAGGGGCTTCGTCGATTTTGGAATTACTCGCGGTTCGCGACTACGTCCGCTAATCCGTGGGGCCATTAATTATGGAATCCACAAAAATCGCAGATTTCTGTATCTCCTCCGGGAGTGACTGATTCCCTCCGTAATCTGCAGTGCAAGCCGTCTGCGTGCAATATTTATTGTGGATTACAGAACTCTAACCTCCATGGTGCGCCACAGATTAGAAAATCCCCGTTGATATGGTCCCCCCATATCAACGCGGATTATTGGAGTTGTGCTGTATATGATTATGTAGTATATGTGTGTGTGTTTTTAATTACATCCTAATCAGACCCAGAAGATCAAAACTGGCCAAGAGTTTGCACACTGAAACTAAAAGCGGCTTCATAATGTGTACAGTGAAATCACATAGGCTGATGGGATAAAAAAAAATTTGCGTTTTTTTTTAGCCACATCACGGAACATTCTACGTTGGCTTTCATTGCACCAACTTTGATTTAAAGCTTTCATGACTGCAGGAATCCATACTCTTTGGTTCTGTCGGCAAAGTCACGTAGGTATGAAATAAAATATAAAATAAATCACGACTTAAATTTCGATTTAAAGCTTTCGTGACTGCAGGGATTCATATTCTTGGTTCTTTACCGAAAGAACCAAGAATATAAATCACGACGTTTCGGGTGTTGCGCCCGAAACGTCGTGATTTATTTTTTATTTTATTTTATACCTACGTGACTTTACCGAAAGAACCAAAAAGTATGCACCAACTTTCCTTCTTAACGTCGAGGTTCATTCTATTTGTGCCCGAATTATCCCAGTGAGCAGTGCCCTTTTCAACACAATGGATGTTCCACTCACCTGCATACGCTGTTTGATCGCGACTTAAAAGGCTGACTCTGCTTCGACAGACGGCGTGATGAGTCGCCCATCTGAAGACGTCTATGAGCGCAATATGCTGTGCGTGCAGAACACTGGCAGGGAGGGCTGGGTGTAGTAAGAAGGGGAGAGGGTTGGGGCCCTGATTGTTCTGGTGGTAATTAATCTTCAACTATCAGATGGGCCGTCTCTGTTCAAGGATTTTTTTGTGTTAAAAGGCATTGAAGCAAATCCAAAGAGAGATTATCCAAACACAAAGCTGAAATCAGCATTAGAACTGTTCCTTTGTAATATTCAATTTATACACGACGTATACAAAAGGAGGTCAACACATTTTGAGACTACGGCAAAGCGTTAAGAGTGCAAGTATCGGCCCGTATCTCTCTATTTTTTCAGTCGAGTAGCTCCCAACACCCGTGAATTTATGCAAATAAACTATAATTACAAGTAATGGGACTTCAAAGTAATCAAATCGTTACGTTAGTATGACCTTTTTTTAGTGCCTCGCTGTATAATTATGAGAGAGAAAAAAAATCATTACACTCTTTGGGACACGTAAAAAAAACGATTTGCTGGCGAGATTTTTAAAGCCTCCATTCTGCATGTCAGAGAGAGAGAGCAAGTGAATGTGTCACCTCAAGGTCAAAATTGCTGATTGCTGATGAAGGATGTCCCCTGCTGTTTGCTTAAGTGTCCTTAGGGAAGAAGTCCCGGCCGTGATATTTGTGTGTGACTTTTGGATGAGGTGAGTTGGTGCAAATCTTCCCTGGGCAAACACAATGGCAGCTTAGAGTGGGAGAGATAAATACTCGCTATCTTGTCTGTCACTTCCAGTTCAGTGTATTTACTGGGCCACTTTTAAACTGCCACCAGACAGGCGAAGATGACAATAATTAACAGGAAATGTATTCAAAATTAAGCAGGTGCAGATCGCATGGCGATTATATTTCTTCCTTTGTGCGCAACAAATCTGCTCAGTCTCGTAGGTTGGAACCCAGACTTGAGACCAAGTCTCTACCAGGCCTCTGCAGTCTATGAGAATATCTGACTATTAAACTCAGTTCAAAAGTAATACTCGCACTTACACTTTTGCATTACGCTTGACGTGGAAATTATCTCCTCAGTTCTCACAAAAAAAATGCTTAAAAGGAATGGGCAGCACTCCACCATCAAAAGTTGAAAAGCTTTTTTTTTAAAGTTCATTGTAATGGGATTCATTACATTTGAATTTCTAAATGTACTATTATTACGTATGGTAATGGACAACCAGATGATAATTAATTCAACTCTGTTAAAAAAATAAACGTCTTAATAGAAAGCACATGTGAGCAAAGATATATTAAATGCTTGCATATCATGTAGGAGACAATCAATCAATCAGCCAATCAGTCATTCAGTCGGTGTGCTCCCGTGGCCCAGCAGGACTTGGCTTGGTTGGCGCAGTTTATTTTGCCAACTGAGCCCCAAGTGTGGCTGTAACTGGCCCCATTAGCTCTGCTGAAAGGGCAGCTTAGCCCAGGGGATGAGTATTCTCAGCCTACCCGCTTTAACCACATTTGTGGAATGTGGCCAACGCATAATGTACAATCTGAGAAGCAGAAGTGCATCGTTTCAGCCAGCAGCTATGTATAATATATTGAATTTCAGTCAACCTTCTTGGCAAATTGATGCATTAACATTTTGCCGCCTTTACACGTTAGCAGGCTTCAGAATAACAATATTAATCTACCGCAGGACAGAATGACAATTGAGATGTTTATTAGTTTATGTTATTGTTTGCTTGCACAGCTAATTGGTTTTCTGCAAATGGGCACATAAAAGATTAGATGTGAGACATATTAACATGATGCCCTTTTCATATTACGATATATGAGCCCCATTTCCATTGTCACTTGTAGTACAATATGAAATATTTGGCCAAATGGCTAACATCCTTTCCCTGGACCAGTTATGTACTTTCTACAGCATATTTATGTTTTAAATCGGAAGAAATAAATTTCTACCTACGTGACTTTACCGAAAGAACCAAAGAGTATGGATTCCTGCAGTCACGAAAGCTTCAAATCAAGATTAAACAAAGAGTCAAAGAGAATATAAATTGTAAAGTAGGCTGCTGGGGGGAAAAAAATCTAATCTATTGTCATGTTTATTTTATGGTAGCCTTGGTGACATGTTTGCATACATGTTTGACTTTTTGATTAACTTCTGTAAGCTACTGTCATTAAATAAATTGGCACAAGTCTGGATAATGTAGACATTTTTCTGAATAAAATTAGTTTAGAAGCTGTTATGAATGTGTTGAAAACCTTTTTTTTCTGGCTGAATGTCGTCTGCATTTTATATTTTATCCATCACCAACCCGCACTGACCAGCATGGTGAAGTATAGTCACAAGGTGTGGGGAGGCCCTCATCCAATAGTGGATTAACAAAAGGGCTGCATTTGTACATGTAATAACATTTAACCCCCACGCTTTTAAGATGCATTTATGTACCGCATTCTCGAAGGAACATAACATTATATATGTTTTCTACTCTAAAACATTAAAATATGATTCCAATAACACGTTCTCAAATGTAACAGTTCCTCAAGTGAAAGACTCGAAGGGCGGGATTATCAGACATTGCTCCCCATATTCCGATTACGCTAGGATTCTGCCCTGGTGTATATGGATCGCGCTCAAGTCTTGCAATGTGTAAGATCACCAAGTTGAACTCAATCCTCCCGACGTGACAGTTGAAACAAAGGAGACAAGTTTCTTAAATCTTTTCCCTGCCTCTTCCCACCAAGCATGAAAAATAGGTCCACTGCCATCGATCGGCTGAGTCACAGTGTGGTGCGGTAAAGTGTCTGGCCAGCATTGAAGAGTAAGCCAAATAACGTCTAAGAGGGGTTATCTTGAGCTCCGTCTAGTGAAGGCACTTCTGCCAGCAGTGGCGTTCACGAGTAATTACAGGGCTGCACCTTTACCCTGTTACAAATTAGGGGTTACCTCCTGCTGCGTGTGTGGCCCAAGCCTGTTAAATCCAAATTATACCGTTGTGCCGCTTCAAGCAAGAGCCACGAGTGATCGTTGAGTAATTCCTCATGAGTGATATGCTACAAAGATAAACTTACCACAAGATGCTTCTCATATTGTTTAGGACATTATAATATAGCAAATGTTTTAAACGTTATTGTTTTCTATGTCAGGGTTATGTCCTGAATTACGATTTATTTGGTGATATAAAAATAAGGTGGTGCAACGGTTGGCTCATTGTGCTGTAAATTCTAGACCTCATTTTGATTTCTGGCCATGGCTAACATCAACCCGAAGTGACCA